AGTCGTTAAAACGTTTGTTCTGACGTCATTTTTGAGGTGGTTTGGGGGGGAGGGGGAAGCAGCTGTTAACACCCCGCTCCTTCCAGTGTCTCCAAAATGCCCGCCCAGCTAAACTGTCACAATTATCTTTCCAAACACTTGCTACTGCCCGCCGTTGACGGACGTCCCTCCGTTCTCTCAAGTGCCTGAGTCATATTTCACGTCGAGTGTGTTTGTACGCCTCCGCCCCCCACGTATGACTCAACTCTGATCATTAGAGTCTTCACTTTTAAACATTAGCAACTTTCATCAAAACTCGTCGTCTGGAGTCTGGAAGGCGAAAAAATCCAAATCTCCAAACAGCGCCCCTCTTGAAAGCACCTTCAAGCTCTTCTCTCGCGTTGCCCGTCTGTCTGTCTAAATTATTCAGCTGTATCCCGACAACATGGCCTATACCACATCCTTTGGTCCTGAGACGAGCTACAAAGATTCATGATCATCAGCATCATATTATGACACCTTTCTTCATCACTATTTCTTCTCTTGTTCCTGTCCGGATCATGTCCAAATATCGACAATTTCATTTCCCCAAAAGTGCCAATCTACAGATGTGGCGTATCTTGAGTCCGGGCAAAGTTTAACAGCGCTGCGATCACATCTGGAAACACCAAGGGCCATCTTTGGCTCGCGATTGGTAGACCACAGAGTGGCGGAATGAGCTTGTCTGTCGTGTTTTTGGGATGTCCGAACTTAATCAAGCGGTTGATGAAGTTCTCACTGCGCGGATCACAAGATGGAAACAGATGCAAACTCAGTGAAGTTATCATGAAAAATAACTAATTGGTGACTGACTATCGAAAGCCAAAGCTGCCACTGGACACGATCCGGAGTTACGTCCAGGAAAGCGAACAGAACTGCTTTTGAGAAGAACTCTATTAATCCCGTCTGGAAGCTACAAAACGTCTTGATTCAAAACTTTAATTTTCACAACCGAAAAACGTCGTCACCCAGTCCTGTGCAGAACAGCTTTTTTGGCCACAGAACGCAAACTGTTGTATGCCCGACGCTTGTCGTCAGAACGTACGGAACGATTTCTTCAGACTGACGGTCACTGATCGGGCATGCGTTCTGTGCCCCTGTTGCATTCAAATCGACGGTACGTAAATATCTAAAAAAGGTAAAAACGCAGCTCCTGGCGGCGACGGGAAAACACGAGCATGGATGATGATTCACAGGGAAGCCGATCCAGATGTTAAAAATATATCACACAAGACGCAACGAACAAACGACAAACACAGAGCGTAAATCATGTATATCACTTCGGCTCCCGTTTAGTCTGTTTATCCGAGTATTCGCAATAGTGATGCGTGCACCTCGTGACAGTGTCACTTTAAACGGATAAAATGATGGTACATATAATTACCACTGGGCATTTTAAGGGTTAAAGTTAGAATTCCTGCAGACATACATTAAAATGAATTTAACCCATCTTAAGCGTGAAATGCGAATCAAGTCTCCTAATTTATCGAATTCAGTGATACCAACATGTCGGACGCACGGACATGTGAGGTGAAAGAACAGTAATGTCGGTTGCAATTACGTACGGTAACAGGGCTTCAAAAACTATGCAGTTTTTAGTTGGAGTATTTTTTTTTTCCTCGTAGAATGTAATATGGCGGCTGTACG